ATGCTATTCCATTCGCTTTCGTTTTATACTTGGCATAAACTGCGCATAGATATTTCTGAATAAACCTTTCTTATTTATATTGATTATATATATATGTTATACTATTTTAATGAAATATAATAGGCGGAATCTTTTAGAATGATTCACTGAATGCCACCTTTGAAAATAATCGTTTTATAGATGTATTTTATATAAGCATTCGTGCTTTAAATTCCAGCTAAAATTCTTTAACAATTTTTTGACTTGCTATCAACCTTCGTTCATTGCAGTTGCTAAAAATCGAATTTAGAGACTTCGGGGAAGACGGCGCCATGCTTAAGGCCATTCAGCTAGAATAGAGCCTGCACCAAGACTGCGGCAAGTGGAGCAGAGTGACGCAGTTGAGACAGAGGTGAGTGTTGCACTCGTATGTTAATAAATTGACGCGCTTTGCATGAGAGGAGGGCGTTGGCTTGATTTAAATTAAAAATATATTGCATACTTTTTTGCGCGCAGCCATTGCACTATGGGTCAAAAGCCCGTTTTTTTTGCGATCAAAAGTCAAATGCAAAAAAACAAATTTAATTATCTTGACTAGTTCAAAAGTTATTAATTAATTCCAAAAAAACGGGCTTTTGACCCATAGTGCATTGGCTACAAAATAAATACAAACACACACACACATGCACCCACACCTGCACACATTCTATATATAAATTAAATTGTTGTGCGCCCCGACGGCAAGCAGGCAGTCAGCCAGGCAGGTGGGCACAAACATGGCATGTTATGAACTCCAATTTAAAAACCTGAACGTACGGGTTAAGGACTCGCAGTCTCGCAGCTTCTGGGGCCGAGGTGCAAGGGGGCGAAGGACAGCACTCGGAGTGTAGAGTGTAGAGTGGGCCATGTGAAAAGTGGGAAGTGGAAAGTGGAGTGCGGGTCGTTTGGTGCTTCAGCAAACCGTTTTTGATTACGCGTGTGTTTTTCGCGTGCAACTAAATTAGCGCACGTGTAATCAAGTTTTTCAGCTTTCCATAATAGCGTTACAAAAAAATAAAGGAAACAAGCAAGAGGCGGCGGTGCTCGACTTGCAGATACTCTGATAATGTGAGGAACAATGAGAGTAAAGTATATTGAAATATATTATTGATTACCATCTGAAATGCTTTAAGAAACGTGAAGGAATTGTGTATTCCAGGTCTATATATATTTTCAAACATGGTATATGGCTTATATACTTAAATACATACGATCTAAATATTTCCTCCAAAAAAATATATGATATTGACTTTCGATACGACTCGTATTGAGCTTTCGCTAGCATAAAGTCATAAAGTCTCTTTAAATTGCTATAATACTTTTTATGACCTAACAAATTCTAAATCAAATCAATCCAAATTGTATGTAAATATATTATATTTATAGAATACGTAAAAGTCTTCTCATTTGTATGCATGCGTTTGTGTTCCTGTATAGATCGATTTTCAATAAAATTGACTATAGACTATAGACTATACAGACGTCTTTGGTCAGCAACCCGAATTCAGAATGTCAAGGGGTCAGCCAATAGTAATTTGAGAATGTAAAATCAACTATATTATTGATTAAGATAACAACAATATAATATAAATACTTTATGTAAATTAATAAGTTTTAAGAATTATCGTAAAACCAAGATACCCATTTGACAGTATGTATTAAGCTTATTAAGTGTTAACCACGATGCTCGCCTGCCCTGCCCTGAAAGAATCCTGAAGTAAACTTTTCGCCAAATGTCAACATCGAATAGGGACAATGGGAGAGACACGCGATAATAACATAAATCACACGATAAAGAATAGAAGGTCTATAGAATAGAGATATTCGTGGTTGCAGGTAAAAGAAAATCATTTTGCATATATACCATAAATCTAAACGTTATGCAGCACTTGTACGTGTTAAATCGAAATTTAGTCACGCTTTGCCGTGGCAACTTCTTGTTGCATTGATGAACAAGGAAATAAAGAACGGATTATTCTTGTATCTGTATGCCTTCATGATTGAGTCCGTAGTTTAAATATTTTAGGTTAGTTTAGTAATATTGTCTGTCTTACTCCCAGGTCTATCCGTCATTTGAGTAGCTTCCCAAGGTCAATGTTTGGTGTAAAGTACTAAGCATCATCAAGGCTTATCAATCGACCGCTTTTCCGATGGATTATTCTTCTATCTGTATGTCTTCATGATTGAGTCCGCATTTGTATTTCAATAATCCGCATTTGTATTTAAATATTCGATCCATTTTTCGATTAAGATTTCATAATTTTTATAGCAAGATATATATGTAATACATATTATGTATATGCATAATTTAATAACATAATAAAATGGTGTTAATATGAAGATGGCAGAAAGGGCGTGGTTCTCGTTGATTACGACCTTACGCCATATAAGACATTTCAATATAAATCAAAATATTTGGTTTGCCTTTTATCAATGTTATTGTTATATGCCATTAGTAATACCAATGTTAAATTGTTAATGGCTTATTACCATTAGCCATGGTTACCGACCCATTAAAATGTATAAAATTACTACATTTTAGATCCATTTATGCTTTTGACTTTAAATGTATTGTAATTTTATATTATTATGTTATTTTTTTTATATTATCTAAAATTTTATTGTTGTTTGTTAATATTCAACTCTGCCACGTACCAAAATGCGAAATGCCTTTTTCTTTTCGATTGTATATTCAGTGGTGGTTTGAAAAGTGCCTCCAGGAACATAACTGGGAAAGTCTTTTTCGTTAAGATACCAACTATCGAGCGTATAGTTGAAACCCTATATATATATAAAATACAAAAAACAATATTTTAATTTTACATTTTTGAGTAAATTCAGAGGCATGCCAAATCGAACAAGTAAGAAGGCTCCAGTCGAGACTGCTCAACTAGGAGATACCCTGAACCCTCCAAGCTGATATTCTAATCAGTCTGGACTTCTTTTATGCACACATACATACACATGCACTTATAAGCACGCGCTCTGCTGACTGCGCAGTAAGCAGCGGCTGCGCTTGGGCTGCGCTGCAATGTGGGCAATATTATGAGAATTTATTTGTTGAATAATTTCTTTTGTAGACATACGATCTTAATGAAACTTTCAGAGCGTAATCATGTGGCTAAAATATGTGTACATTCCAAAGCACAAGTCTCTAGTACTTGAAATGCGTTACAAATTGGGGGCGAAGGGGGCGTGGTATCCAAAATCTGTAAATGGCAAAATCTATGTATCCATTAACTTTATATACAACGCAAATTTGAAGTCTCCAGGTCTAAAAGTATTCAAACTAGGCTGAAAAAACCAAGTCGATTTTTCGATTATTCTCGATAAAAAAGTTATCGGATGAGTTATCGAAAAAATAAAGCAAACTTGTACTGCCTATGGTATACACGAGTATGCATGCCAAATTTCAGCTCTCTAGCTCTTATATCTTCTGAGATCCTTTTGCTCATACGGACGGACGGACGGACGGACGGACGGACGGACGGACGGACGGACAGACGGACAGGGCTATATCGACTCAGCTCGTCGTCCTGATCAAGAATATATATACTTTATGGGGTCTGCGATGATTCCTTCTGCCTGTTACATACTTTTCACAAAACCATTATACCCTGATTTCCCATTTTCAATGGGTTCAGGGTATAAAAACGAGTTATAAACTTTATGGCGAACATTGAAAATATTATTAATATATGATTAATAATAATCACTTATCAATGTTTTCGGATGTGCATTTACTCACCGCATTAAATGGACATCTACATTTGCAATTCGAATATTCCTGAAAGGTCCTCATTAGTGTTTTCATAAACTGGTTCTTGTGTATGTTCGAGAGAAACGCGCACGCGTCCCCACGCAAGCTATACAGGCGCACCTTTGTGTTATCCGTTTTCCAGAAGTCCATTTTCGACGTTACATAAATTTTGCTGGTATTAACTTTTAGTATGAGATTTGCACTGATATAACTGCGATTATTCAGGTGAACTATCCAACAGTTCAGGTCTTCAACAAGTTCCGGTGCATAATTTTTGCAGCTAACCGAGTCGAATATGATTTGGAACTTGCATTTCTCTGTGGACACAGCTCCAATAAGCAGAAGAAAGCAGAAATAACCAAACATAACGGAAGCGCAGCTCAATTACCAATGAATGTTGGCCAGAGCGAATATGAATATATATGAACTAGCTTGAAATTATTTAATTGGTGTGATACTCATCACTGTTGTAGTGTTTATGCTAAATGCAAACTACTTAAGCATTAAATAATGTTTATTTAACTCTGTGATCATGTTTTATCCCTTTGTTTATATATTTATTTATTTATTTATTTAGGATTACATATTATTTTGTTCTTTTTTTTCTATTTTTTTTTATAATATGCGACTATTACTGGCGAAATAGAAGCGGAACTCAAAATTACTTAATTCTTTAAAGCTTTAAATTGAGCGAAACCAATCGCAGCCGCATGAAATCAATTGTGTGTCGATATAAAAATTATATGAACCTGATTTTGAATAAATTTACAATTTTTACACTCATTCATGAAAAAGAAATTAGTATATTGGTTTTGAACAGTGTCCGCCTTGCTGTCCGCACGTCTGTCACCCGTTCGTCTGGCGTTCTCAACGTATGTTGAGATAAGTGTCCCGATTGGCCTACTGGGGGCGTGGCTAATTGGAAAATACGTTTCCCGATGTGCCAGAAATCGCATTAGTTAGTTACATCGCATTAGTTTCTAGCTCTTTAGCTAGAAAGCTGAAATTTGAAATATGGATTCGCGTTGGCCACTGAAGATCGAAAAGGTATGACGGATATATCTAGTCTCATAGGGGCTTGGCAAATCGGGTAAAACTGTATATTCTATAGTTTTAAAGCTAAAACGCTAAAATTTAGCTCGTGAGTAATGTTACAATTCTATAAAGATCAATGAAAAATCTGTATGTCCACTAGTTCAGAATTAATAATATCACATTGGAATCAGTTGCTTATCATTTTATTGGTTTATAGTTCGTTTATGTGATTGTCTTTAATCTACACGATATATTTTCGCAAAAAAGAGGAGAGAAAGAAATTTTCGGCGTTTTATAAAGACCTCAATAGGAGCTGTAATGTCACAGTCGGGTATGAAAGCAGGTATTAGGTTTTCATCCAAATTCCATTCAGACAAGGTGTAGTTAAAGTTCTGAATATCAATATGAATATATATAAATAAATATAACTTCAATATAAAAATGAATATTTGGGCAACACTTACAGCTTGCAGTGGACATATTAATTTGGTGGCAGCGTGCTCTTGTACAATTTTCAGGAATAAGTTAATGACCTTACTCTTGTATCCTCCTCCTAAAAATTTACACCCATCCAATGTGACTTTTATTAGTTGCATGGTTCTATTGTTTTTTTCTCTTAAGTTCACCGAAGATTTTATTTCAAAACTGTGTACAAAGCGTTTGAGACTCCCGAACGCGTTCAAGTAGCTTCGATTATTGTGTTCATAAAAGCGGATCTGTGCTTGATTGACTATATCTGACGCCACGATTTTAGTGTCAATTTTTGTGAATTTCAAATGAGTGGCACCATTTGCATTCTGACACGTCAATATCAACAGCAGACAGATCGATTTATAACAAGCCATGGTCAATGCTGAATTCCGAATGGCATCGCAACGTGCTGATACTCTCTGTTAAGCCAAATCATTTTCTATATACATATATAGAACATCAATTTCGAATCAGATATTTTTAATAAGTTTTATAATTTCGCAATACTTGCGTTTATCGTAAATAAGAAACGGATGCAAAACATTAAATATTAGTCCAGATTTTCAATTTGTAAATATGTACTATGATCAGTATGGAATGACCATAGAATTGAAGAGTAATTTTTTGGTATTCCTCGAACCAATTAAAAGGGGGTCTTCGTCCGCCAAAGACTGATTGCAATGATAACAGGCAGTAGGAGATGTGGCAGGCCCCATATATATTCTTGATCAGGGCGGCAAGCCGAGTTGATCATTCCATGTCCATCAATCTGTCCTAAGAACACCAATGTGTGAGCATATAGGAGACTAAAAATTTTGCATGCATACTCGTGTATACCATACGCAATACGAGTTTATCGTATACCCTGTTACCCTGAACCCCTTTAGAAAGGGAAAATATAGCCCTGTCCCTGATTTTGAATACCACGCCCCTGTTAAAAGCTAGAGGTATGTGAATGTTTTGAATGTGAATGTTATTCTGAATGTTTGTTGAAGATAGATTTATTTGCTGCTAGCTGCGCAGATATCAGAGTACGTATATATGCGTGCATGTGTTTTTGTATGTGTGCATAAATAATCTTAGAATGGAGTGTCATCTCTTTGCAGGGTTCAGTGTATCTCCTAGTCGAGCAGTCTCGGTTAGAGCACTTTTATTTGGATATGATTCCAATTTATCCAGTTTAGTCTTCTATGTATATCGAATTCATATTTACGATGTATAGTCGTGGAGTACTTCCACACTGGTTCTAATTTTGTTCACAGTTAATAATATCCGATATTAATCAGTTTCAATATTTTATTGGTTTATATTTCATGTATGCGACTGTCTTTTATCTAAGAACGGGTTATTTTCCCAAGGAAAAGGAGAGAAACAACTTTTTGTTTTTTTGAAAAAAAATCAACATGAGACGCAACTTCACAGACGGGTATAAATTCAGGTAACAGGGTTTCATCGAAGTTCCATTTAGAAAAGGTATAGTTCCAGTTCTTGAATGAATACAAATAAATGTGAATATTATATAAAATGCATGCTTGGGCAAAACTTACCGCTTTCAATGGGCATAATAATGTAGAAGAAGAATACTTTTTCAGAATTATCAAGAATATGTTTAGGAAACTACTCTTATATCCACCTCTGAGATATTTACACCCATCCAATGTGACTCCAAACACTGGCTTGGTCTTATTATTTATTCCTTTAATTTTCATGGAAACTTTTGTTTCAAAGCTGTTCACAGCAAGTTTAAATCTCACAAATGCATTGAAGTAGCTTCGATTATTTTCTTCATACATGTGTATGGCCGCATCATCGACAATAGATCGTTCCAGAACTTGGGTGTCAATTTTTGTGAATTTGAATTGAACATCACTCGATGCATACCCAGACATCAATATCAAGAGCAGATAGAATGATATATAACTCGCCATGGTAAATGACAAACTCCGATTGGCACCTAATCTCTCCGGGCAGAGTTTAAAAATCAATTATTTGGTATTTTCTGGTTACATTTATACAGTAATTATGAATGAGATATTTTTGAAATGCTTAAAATTAAAATTGAATCATTTCCGGCCCCTGCAGTTAATAGGTATAAGAACCGGATGCTGAACAGAAAATATAATATTTTTGAATATTTTTTATTGCCAAGTTCAACCAACCTACCGAGATTTCAAGTTACGTCATATTTCGAAATATTGCAACGATCCTTCAGTATATACACATAGGATATATATGTTTTTGATCATGTCACGACGAAGACCTGAGAAATTGCACACATATTTCAGTTAATCTAAAGATTTTGCAATCCTAATAGGATTATATTTTGGGAAATAATTGCAATTCCCATCAGAAACAACTTTAAATTGATTTATGATAACCTTAGTAAGAGATTTAATTTTCATTAGAATACCAGCTAAAGAAATTTTAAATAACTTGTACATATGTAGATCTGGATATACCTTAGCTAAATGATTTTAAGACCTTTATAGTAATTTCTATTTTGCATACCTAATATGCAATCGAAAATGTTCAATATATTTTAAAATTACGATGAATAGTTTAAATGAATAAACTCAGACTTTTAATTTTCTTAATTTTCATACCCAAATGATTTCCGATCTTATGTTTGTATTACATCTATGTATATTGTCTGAATGTGTAGTTGTATCTCCACTTCATTAAAATTAATTTGGAAATTGGTTGCACAGATTACAATAGTTGAATATTTATTTAATAATAATAATACTATATTTAATGTTTTTTCTTTATTTTCCGATAAGAATATTGTCATCCATGCATCTGAAATCAACTCAATTTTTAAAAGGCTCTAATTGTTAGAGAGTAACCTTCCAATATTTAGGGCTGTGACAATCAATTTGGAATAGGAATAAAATTTCGTGGATACTTTGTATTTACATTCAGGCAAATAGTTGGGCACATGTTTCTCGGCCATATACCAGTCAGTAAGCGTATAATTGAAGTTCTGCAAATCAAATATTAGTTCAGAAAATATTGGTTATGTTTTTATACATATATTACTGATCTATGGATAAATTTTTGATAGATATAACGCGCGTCAAAATGTAATATAGATTATATTACTGAAATTTAAAAAAAATGTGACTTCATATCGATCACCAATACACTACTATTAGTGTATTGGTGATCGATATGAAGTCACATTTTTTTTCAGTAATATATACATTAGCTAATAACTATCGACTACTTACCGTTTTCAGTGGGCACTTGATCATTTCGCCTAATCTAGTTACAAAAGTTTTCGCAACTTCCCGGTATAAACGCACCTTATGCAAGGCAGTAAAGTACTGACAAAAGTCCATGCGGTTGTTGTAAAGCTTCATCGTCTGATTGTTTGCCTTTATGATGTCGAAATTAGTTATCATTTCAGCCTGGTCGATGCTACGCCGTAGAATCATATTACAACTGAGGTAACTACGATTAGCTTGGGTCACCACACATTTGAGCTCCTCAAAGAGGTCAGGATCATGATGCTTCACATAAAACGTATCGATCACAACTTTAAGTTTACGTTGATCTTTCTTAGCATCTAGCCCAAGGGTTAGAAGTATCAGAAATAGAGACAGCTTAAACCAACCAGCCATGGCTGAAACTCGATGCGCAATGTTTGCTGAACTCTGCTTCGTATATCAGATTCATAAAGTAATAATAGGCTTCGAATCACATGCTTAAGTAGAGTTATTAGAGATTGACAGATTGAGATTAACAGACCTATTAAAAATAATAGTACAATTTTATAAAATTGTTGCTGTTGTTGTTGTTTATAAAAAACATTTTAAAAATATTTCTCTCTGTGCTCAAGCTACTCATTTTGGTCTCACTCTCGATCACCAAGTTAAAATTATATATCGGTTTTCTGCAATGCCCGAGTTGCTGTTTATCCGAACGAAGTAAATAAGAGTGGGGTAAACGGGCTTACCCGATTCGGGGATTGCCTGATCACCTCGTAGAGAAGATATTCCGATTATTCCCATCATGGACGTTTGCTCCGAAAATGTACGAAATATAAAAGAAAATTGGTATTAGTAATCGATTTCATTAAAACGGAAAGAGTCATCGATTATTTATCGATTAATTCAAGTCACCAGCTTTTTAGGTTCTGAGATCGACTAGCAGACAGGTTCAAGAATACATATAATTTATGGGTCTGTCACGCGTCCTTCTGCCTGTTACCAAAATTTTAAGAAACCCCATATGCTACGGTATACAAAACCCTTTATCTAAAAACCCAGTTAGGTACATATTCAATACATTTTATAATATAATTTAGGTTGTAATAATTTATTATTGTTTTTTTTTTTTTTTATTATTATTATTATATGTCTTTTTTGTCGGCATAAATATTTAGTGCTTATAGTCGACTTCGCCTTCAAGGAGCATGCGTACAGCCACTTTCTGATGAATGTAGAATTTAGATATTGCTTTGAAATGGCATTCAGGCACGTATTGGGGGAAATCGTCCTCACTAAGGTGCATGTTGCTAATAGTATAGTTGAAACTCTAAAAGTGGTCCATTATTGTAGATTATATGCAATATATACATAAATATACATACATGGAGACATGTGGAATGAATACTTACTGGCTTCAAGGGACACTTCAGGTGCTCATTGCTTCCTCTATTCACACTCTTTGCGAGCAGAGTGAAGATGCGATTTTTGTGAATAGTTGTTAGAAACTTACATGCGTCCAAACGTATGTGGTATAAACGCATTTTCTGTTTATCGGACTTGATTATGTCCAAGGATGTCTCCAAATCCATCTGATCTATTTGCCGCTTGAGTATCCAAGCAATACTAAGCGTGCTGCGATTGGGCTGAGTCCAATTGATGCTTTCAAAGATGTCTCGAACGGTGGGCCTAATGTAAAAGTTGTTGACTTCGAAGCGAAAACTGCGATGATGAGCCGCAATTGAAAAACCCAAACAGACCAAAAACCAGAGCCAACCGGACATGGCGACAGATGAGTCTCAAATGGAGTAATGGACATTGCATGAAATTATTACCAATTATCTGATAACTACGAATACTGAAAATTACATTAAAATTGCTAATTATGATACGCGCCTGAAATTGTTTGTTTAGCATTAATTATCTGCTCAGATCTGTAACCTTTGTTCTAATTTAAAGTCAACGCATCAATTTTATCATTCGGATACAATTGAGAAAATTTCTCGATTTACATAGAAATGGAAACTATCGAGAATTATTGAGAACGAATTTCTTTCAAGGTGATAGACATTTTTTCGATTTATCGCAATTTAGACTGTATTTGATCCCTGATCAATTTGGTCATTTCTATCCATTAGTAATGAAGTTTTAAGCAAAAGAATGGAGCTTTTTGGATTAATCTATTTTTCCATCTATCCATCTATCTAAAACTATATGATTAACATAACGAGAAAAGAATCTATTAAAACTGTCAAACACATTCCAGAACTCTTATTTTATATTCCACGACAAGATCCCCCTCAATTGAACAATATTATATTGGACATTAGCCAGACATTAATGGACGAATAATTGAAATTAGTTTCATAAAAATTCTGTGCCAAAACAATTCTTCCAAGCTGAATGATTGACTGAAATAAATCCATAAATAGTCAATTAAATTAATGTCCGACTTATTGAAGGTTTGAGTAGATGGTGGCAACTATAATTAGATTTTGGATACATCAGACCAAAGGTTGGACAATTTGTATGCGCTCTTTATATTAAATTCCCTCTGTGCTTTCGAAATGTCATTGTCTTAGGTAGTGTCTCAGTCGAACTGAAAAACATTGGCTGGAATCCCGCTTTAAAGTCATCTGATTATTTATTGTTCAAGCTTACATGTTCACATTTAAAGCAAGATATTTTGTATTAGTTTTTTAAATTATATAGATCACTTCTATATTTTGACGCGATTCTTTGGTCCCCTTTTCTTGTTAAGAACTGGATGTAATTGGCCAGAAATATGCAAATTGGCTAGTGGCTTGGTCTTTTCTCGAAACTCCACGTTGAAGAAGTAGCTGCACTCGGGCAGCAACTCGGGCAGAATGCGTTCGTCTATGTAGCTGCGTTCTAGTGTATAATTCAGATGCTAAAAGCAAAGATTCGTTATGCAGTAAACGAAAAGGGACTAGAAGTTAGTGCCGAAAACTCGACTTACCGGCTTAAGTGGACAAGACGGTTGCACATTAGTGAAGGTTACGAATCTGTAGTGGAACTGCTGAAGAAATTTGCTTTTGTAGGTGTTCTTTAAAAAGCTGCAAACATCGAATTTGGAATTGAAGAGACGAACACGTGGCAAATTTGGACGTGATATTTCCAAGGAGGCTAGTGCAATAACGTTGTCTACTGATCTACCCAAATACAAGTGCCCAGAGAGGTAGCTGCGATTGCCAACATGCTCAATGGTGGCGCTCTGCGAAGGAATCAACTCCCGATCTATGGGAGTGAAGACAAACCGATCCACGGTCACCACATACTCAGCACACCCACTCCCAGCACAGTCGAACACCAAGATTAGAAGAAAATATGCCCTGATCCGCAGCAGCTTCATTTTTGGCCAAGTTGAACGATGCCCGTGCAACTAGAAACTATTCTCTGACTGACCCTAATTTTCAATTAAGCGACATTGGAATGCGACAGGAAATTGTTTTATAATTGATGATACAATACAATTATCTGTAAAGCTGTATATATTGTAATCGGTCATTAGCCAGCATTTCACAGCATTTTTTTTTTACAAATATAGCCATTAGTAATTACATATTTTAATGTGAGTGTTTTTATTTATACCCTGGGCATTACTTGAATTGTAGGTTTCATATTTCTTTAACTATTTGAACATACTTCAGGAGTTACTTTTGATTGTGTTAAGGGCTTGCAATATATTCCATGATTTCAGTGGAACGTAGAACATTTGACAGATGTCAAATATGTCAAGTCGATGGATAATTAGTATATATATCATACTATTTTCGTATACTCATTTATTATTCTATTTACGAAATAAATAATAAAATAAACAACAAGTAAGAAAGTTCTAGACGAGACTGCTCGACTATGAAATCGTGTGAACCCTTCGAAGAACTGATATTTCAATAGTTCTTCGCGTCTCTCTTTCTCTCTCTCTCTCCCTCTCTCACTACTGTAATCTTTATCTAATTATACAAAATCAAATTAAAACACTGTGCGTTGAAACGACTTAAGTCGTGCACGTTTAATGAAAAAATGCTTCGTATATGAAAGATTCAGCTGAGAAGGCGGCTAAGTACATATGAAATAATATTAAAAAAAAAAAAATGCACACACAAATGCACACCCAAAAAAAAAAAAAAAAAAATAAAAAAAAAAAAAAAAGGATGGAAAAAAGATGTCAACAGAAATGTTAATAACACCAGCGTCAGCAATGTTGTTATTCTTGTTGTTGCCGCTTTATGTACGGTCTCTATTTTACGCCAAGTGCTTCAGTTCGTCCTCCAGCCCGTTGCCCGTTGCCCGTCGCCCGAAAGCGAGCACCCGGACATCCAAGGATAAGCTCCGGTCGTGCTTTTTGGCTGAGCCAAGTGATGCAAAAACATTTGCCCGTTAAAATAGAAAAGCAAAGCAACCAGCATCAGCAAAGTAAAGGAGAGCGAAGAAAAGCAGAGAAGAGCTGGGCTGAGTAAAGTAAAGTAAAGATGACTTGAGTGTAGTTCAAACATCACACCTAGCACAGACGATAGACCCACAGACACCACAGAGTACAGGGTAGAGTCTACAGTCTGACATCTGAACAGAGAAACAGAGAGAAAGAGGCCGTAAAGAGTGAGAGAGAGACGAAGACAAAGATAGAGACTGAGATGGAAAGCTATTGTGGTTCGCATTATGTAAACATTTGTAGGCAAGTTTTCCTCTTCTCTCCTTTTCTTTGTGGGAGGTGATATGGGATATGTTGCTTGAAAAACTTATAGTCGGAAAAATACTCACAATCGTGAAGCGACTATTTGTGACATGTGAAATAAACTGAATTTGAGAATAAATGGAGTAAGGCTATATTATTGTAATACCTATTAAAGTCGTACATTATATGAATGGAATAAATAGCATAGGGAACTTTGAGAGCAACTTTCTTGAAATTTGGCAAATTTAAATGAGTCCAAATAAAATTAAAACAGTTTACTATATAGAATTAACCGAAAGTCCATTGCTTCCATTTGTGTTGCTACATTTATATATATATATATGTATATATATAATTAATTATATGAAAGACTATTGATTAGTTCACATATTATATAATATATAAGATAATGGAATTCTCTCTCGGTCCCAAATGAGATAATCTAATTACGCAAAATATTGGTTTATTGAGATTTACGAGTGGAGAAAAGTTTTTATTACATAGCATTAAAACCGCATAAAAATGAGGGTAGATGCCGCAACTGATCCAAAGATTCACTCTAAATTCTGAGTGGGAGTTGAAAGAGTTACTGAGAGAGAATTACGAACACGTGAAAACAAAGTATTAGACAAATTTATGATGATGGAATTTTAAGTGATTTTTAACGAGCAACGGTTGCATAAAAACAAAGATATATTTAAATGATATATTGTATAAATATATATTATTAAAAAAAAAAGTATATATATACATATATATATATGTACATATATATCTTTAACAATATTTGCTGTTGCTTGACGTTGAATAAAAAGCAATACTGCTGGCTCAAATATATCCCACGGTATAACGCACACAGTGAGCAAGAGAATATAATAAAATAAAATTTAAGAATTAAATAAAAAGATCTTAAATGATGGAATATCAAGTCAATCTCAAGAATTTGAGTCGACAGAGTCAGCTGACTGCTGACCATATAAAGCATATTAGTAGTAGGAAAACAGTATTAAGAATATAATATAAAAAATATAAGTTTTATTTCAGACTTTACAATGCAATTTTAAATCAGCTACTTTGTAAATGTATAAACTGTGATCTTATAGAATTTGCGACTAAATCAATCATCAGAAAATTCGAATGACCTAAATATCTATTAAACCGTTTGCATTTGAGACGTAATAAAGTTATCATGATTTTCTCATGATTTCTGACCACTGTGCGCTGACAGAAAGGGGTTGCAGTCAGGTGCAGCTGCTGCTGGGTCGAAAGGTAGTGGCAGCCCACTCCAGAGAGCAGCAAACATTTATGAATTTATGTTGAGTGCACACCCACACACACACACATACGTATACACATACACGCAGACGGAAAATTTAACAAAAGGCCCATTTAGCTCGCTCGCTGCCAAATTGCTATGTCTGCAGCGTAGCACCACTGGCCTCCCACCCACCCCCTCTTCAGAGCCAAGCGCCACCTGTGCATCCAACTGTGAAATTTATTGATTCGAGCAAATAGGCTCTATCGAGAATGTCGACTAACTAGCTATAATTAGAGAGCTCTCAGTCCCCATATACGCCATATGTCTGATCAATATTGAAATGACCAACTAGCGCATACCCTGTAGGCAGTTGAAAGGAGTATATATTTGTAACTTAAGGGAAAAATATGGTATCCGAGTAAAACTTAATCGTAAATTATAGCGCCATCTTCATAGTAATATATAATAATAATTATCGACTTAGCTTTCAAATTATTGTTTTTCTTAAATCTGTGGGGATTGCACATTATACTTTTATATATTATCTTTGAAATTCTTCAGATTGAAACTTGCTATATTTCGAAAGCTATATTATAACTGGATGATAATTGGTTAAATGTGAAAATAATTATTTGCGAGTTAGACCAAGATGTAATTCCCGAATTCAATTTTATTCATTCTTTTGCGAATCTCAACTTCTTTTATTGCTGGAGGAGATTCGTTTTAGTTGAGCTATACATGATTGTTTATAGAGTTTTAAAGGGCTTCTTAGGTTCACTGCAAAGTAATTTGCTTTAAGATTGTGAATTTCTACTAATTTACATAGATATAAATTACAAATTATTGATAATAATGATATTTCACAGATTCGATCGTTGACCCTTCTGTATTACCGTAGTCTTTGGAATTGTATTGTATGTCAAATGAAAACTGAAGCTGGTTTCTTGAAAAAATCTTTCAAAATTTCGCTGCAATCAGAATATAGCTGTCCATCAAAGCGTTTACTAATACATATCTTATACATAAATATGTATATATTTATATATACATATAGGAGAGTGTATATGTCTAAAGTGCAACGGCTGGCTTCTTGCATGCGCTTGATTGACATGCACATTTTCATTGAATTATTAATTATGTAATGCGAAACCAATCGTCTACAATTTGCATATGCAATGAGCTCCGATCCCACACCCACTCCCACACACACCCACACACACCTACACACACACATGCTAACTCGTGGGGTATTCATCAGCCCGCTTTCCATATAATATAGTTCACCTAACCACTGTCGATTCTTGAGCTCAACCCACTAATCGACCCTGAAGGCAAATTATTCAGATTTTCCTTAACGATTCGCATTGCTCTGGGTGTATTACCTATGCAGTAAATAAAGATAATCAATAATAATAATAATGATAATAATAAGTATATTAAGTATTCATAGAAATGAATAACAAATCCAATTTAGTTTAAAAAGTCGACTGAAGTGCAGTTTAGAATTTAGATAATTCGCCCATTAAAGCCCTATGTCGCAGTGGGGAACTGTGAATATGTTTGGTATGCAATCTATAATTACATTTATGGCGAGTGTTTCTGCGAGTTGGCTACTAAAAACCAAAAAGTTTACTGCCAAATTTCTTGTGGCAGCCTTTTGGTTTATTAGTTTGGCTGGATGCTTTTGCGCTTCGCTCGGTCTCGCAGCTTGCGATTTTTGTGGAGCGCACAGCAGGAGGCAGAAACGGGTGGCAATGGTTGCCCCTTAGGGCTTGAGACACGGCTGGCTCCAACTCGACTTGAAAATATATAAAATCTTTTATTTTAATTTGTTATTCGCTGGTTGTTTTTAGTTCCCCATTAAACGCAGCCAAAACTTGCTGCAACAGCAGAAAAAAGGCAAGATATTTGTATATATGTTTGTGGAGGGTATAAAAATGGAGCCCTAGGCAAAGGCAATAACAAAATATTATTATCAGAATCATTCATCATGTGGCTGCAGGCCATAAATTTTTCGGCTAGCTGCGAAATGCATCAACAACAACAACAACAACAGCTACATATAAAAATAACAACGACAGCTAACTGTTAATAAATCGCAGCTGCAGATAGCAGCGACCAGCTGCCGGCGCCGTAGACAGCACCACGTTTCCTCACCTCCCCCTTGGATCTCCTGCCCTCCCTGACAAACCCGTCCCATGTCTCATGAACCATCCGAAAGCCATTACAACTCCCTTTCGCACTGCCGAGCCCTTGCCACACATACAACTTCCTTCAAAAACTTTGGCTTAACAACTTTTCTAGGGGCGTGGCTTAGGCTCAAGCACCGCCCCGAAAGAAAAGTCCAATTACTGCCAGGCATTTCTTCATTGGCTCCATTAGTAAGAGCTTGCACTTCTATATCATACAATTTTCCTTGATCTTTCATGATTATATCAGCTGAGCCTTTTAAGCCATGTCCGTCTGTCCTACCAAGCCTAGCGATTTGCTAAATATAACTATAAATTTATCACCCAGAAGAAATAGATTTGAGTAAAATTTTGAGAGCAAGTTCTAGCCGTATTTTCAATCCAAATACTAAGTAAAATTTATATTTTCTGATATTTAAAGTTTAAGATCCGAAAGTTTATAAATCGCTCTCGACTAATCCTACATAAATTGGATTTTGAAAGAAATATGCTCTGAAGTTACCAGCATATTTCGGATATTAGAAAGTCTTTCAACTATATCATTTTAAAATAATAGCGTTAGAGGCTCTTCAAAAATTGTAGAACAATAACAATATTTATTAATTTATGTTGTACATATCAATATACAAATATGTGCGCAAAAAGTTACCCAATTCGCTAAAACTCCATTCCAAAATCGATACAGGCTGCTCGCTATTGAGCATGTCGTGAAAATGATCAAGGACCGCAAAAATCATTCCAAATAAACTTAAATAGCTTAGAATTTCGTATATCCAATCGCATCGCCGATGTCCACTCGAATGGTTTACTATGGGCTTCGAATATAGCTCTGTTTCTTTGGCTATGGTAGAGAGATCCATACCACTCGCTAGACTCAAACGCAAGAATGAATTGTCGTCGCTCGGACTCATATTCCCCAGCACCAGCATCCAATAGGGATCGAAGGGCTTGGGCAAGTCAGCCACATCATCCCATGCATAAAGGCGTCCGGTTACCGGT